TGTTGCCTTGAGGTGTTGGCTTGTTGGTACATGTTCAAAAAATCGGAGGTGTGTCCTTCTTTCTGTTCTCCATATGTAACTGTTTCCTCAGATACGTGTAAATTTGTACGAGTTCGCCCACGGATTCATATCAGTCAATCCAGTCAAGTGTGTGAGGATGGATGTCCCACCGATGACACTGGTTGGTGGTCACGTTAAGATCACGAATTGGTAGAAGTTAGAATTCATGGACTGGCCATTTAATCCGGTCCCATTGGGCGAATGGTATACGAGCTAGCTTGCGTTGTTATCGGAAGGTCCTGTGTTCGAACCTTGGTTGTGAGTGCGTACTGTCGATCATTCCCAAAAACTAGGATGAAACAGCTGTGCAGTGCTGAAGTGCTGGCTTTCAATGGTTCTCTAACTGATATCAATCCATGATCAACTCGTTTAAGCAAATCTAATCCTTTTACACCGAACTCTTAAAAACATGCAAATTTGAATACGCAGTTAGAGTTAACTTGAGAAAGGCATCTATCGACTTTTGATTGCACCAAAAAGTATGCTGTCCGATTAACGGGAACCAACTACGCTGCCAGATAAGCTCTAGTTAGTGATGTATACAATCTACTGGCGGCCATTCCTGCAACTGTATCACCTTTTAAGTTGATCCAGCTGAGGATAGGATTCTTATCCAAAAAGCGGAATTCGGATCTTCATATCTTCCCCACTTCTCAGTGAATATCTGAGGTAACCGTTGTTTTTCAACACCTTTTCAAGAATCAGAAATTGTCCCTCTAATCTTTAGGTAAAGTATATTCTTCTGGCTATGTGTAAGACAGTACTTGTCTACTGCTATTCAGACTGTTTATTAAGTTTGGAGTCTTGTGCCAACTGACAGTGTTACATTTTCAGGTAGGTGAAAAACTTTTCTAAACATATACTTAATAATTTCTTTAGGCCGTAGGCAAGTGGTGCGAAGCCAACGAAATAAATAATGGTAACATCAAATTCTGTCCCGGCTGCTGTTGTTGCTTTATTCAGGAATTATTTTAGCTGTCAAATGACAAGATATATCATAAATGAATTCGCTGCCCACAGACAAGTAACATAACGATTTTGACTGAAGAAATACAGTAGGTATAAGCTTGATTATCGTAAGTAGTTTAACTTTGACAAAGTAGCCACCAAAATGCAGTTAAACATGGATCTTAATAAGCATTATTCGAATAGAAACCAACCTACTAAGTCAATAAGTCATGTGTATATATAAATTCAACTGCTCCTGTGGAGCTAGTTATATAGGTCGTACCCAAAGGAATTTATCTTTACGCACTCGTGAACATATCCCGGTCTGGCTTGGGAAAAGAGCGACCAAATCAATAAATAGTGCAATTCTGTCTCATCTAGTGGATAGCGAACACAGCATCAAAGTAGATGAGTCATTTACAGTTGTTTATCGAGTACCGAACAATCTCCCCAAAGGCATATGATTGCGCCTCCTAGTCATAGCTGAGGCTTTAGAGATTAACTAGAGAAAGACCAGACTTATGTGTACAGAAAAAACTTATTCACTCTCTCTGTCTACCCTGGCCCACTATAAGGTCACCAGGATCATAATTTTCCGTTGTTCATTCACACTTCATCACATTTTTCTGACTATACACCCTATACACATTTGATTGACCATGTTAACTAATGGACCACCGAATCTTTCCAATAGACTGCTTATTCATGATAAATTATTTAAATTCATCTCAGCGTGTTAAGAAAATCAAAACAACCTGGGATTAATTTAAATAATTTATATTGAATCAATCTGACTTGGCGCTCAAATTATTCCAGGAAGTTCGTAACACTTACGGCCTGGAAACCTATAGACTTCGTATTCGTTTACTGCACACAGCTGAGACAGGCGATAGGCATTCGAACTATTAAACCTAAACTATGCATTCAAAAAAGTTCGTACAGCCATTATCCCTCCCTTGGCCTATTAAGACATAACCAACTAATGACTTCTACACCACCCCTCGTTTATATTTTCAACCCCTTTCTTATCATCCCTTAATCTTATCACATCTTCATTATAAACGTGTTTCATTTCCTTCCCTTACAATCTAACATTACTTAATCGGTTCATTTGTTTTTACCAGCTTTTATCGACTACTTCCACCTGAACAGTTGTTTGTTTAAACATGCTGTTTTTCATTATTCGTGTTATCACAGATTGCTTCACTTTTTCTTCCTTCTTATTGATAAGACCATTATTACTATTATTACTATTATTATTATCATTACTATTGTTATGACTAATTGCACAATTTATATTCACCATCTTACTATCCTATAGACAAAACACCATGATTGGTTTATATTTGAATTTTCATTTGTAAACTTATGTATATTAGAGTTAAGCCTGATGAGATCTAATTGAAAAACAATATTGTTCTCTTAAATGTGTTGTTCTAAATTTTACTATGGGAATATTTAATATAATGGACTATCATCTCAACTTACACATGCACCCCAATACAGTTTCTGATGTTATTTTCATTTGCCTTTATTGGATTTATAACTGCAGAGCCTGAAGAAGAAGTTATCGAAAACAATTGTTCACTCAAAATCTTGTTTTGATTTCAATAAATCATTTTTAGATCTCAATTCCACCTTTAGAATCCATAATGAAAGTGGGTATTATGGTAAAGCCATAAATTATGCTGGAGTTTTGTAGTTAAATGCGTCCCGTGACCTAAGCAGGTTAAGTACAAGGTTTCAGCATGACGTTATCAGAGGAAATGACTGCCCAGTGGGTGACATATTCACACAAGCGAGCCATGTAGCTGGAATAACCTAGGACCATCGGAGAAATAATGAAAATTGCTTACAAGTGGTTAATAACAATTAGAATTTACAAACATTCCGAAGGAACCAAGATTTACTCTAAACGTACCTCAATCCTTGATACAGTGACTATGAAATAAAGTTCTCAGTCAAACATACACTTTTGAAGAAGATTAGACCATTAAAATTTAGACTGACTAGCCACTTGGAAGTAGCCAGTATTACGTGTCTAGTGACTAACGTTGGTTGAATTCTACCGTCTAACTTTCTAATTTGGTGACGAAGGTAGGTGATCCACCGTCGTCGTATACCTTAAAGTGTTGTTATTTAGTGACCACGCTTCAGATCTGACTGATGAATTTTGGTCGGCACCAACATAACAGATTAAGGAGCAACGAGTGCATACACTCCAGTCTTACAGGAAGCCAAACTTGACTCAGACGGTAGCACCGGGTGATGTGGGTTCGAATACCGGAGGGGACACCAGTTCTTTGAAGCACCTCTCCCTTCCGATCGCCTCTAACCATGTTACAGTTAACAGTGACACACAAAATTCATGAAACGTATCACCGTGTTGGATCACACAAAACTCATGAAAACTTTGAACTGAACCTTTCTGAAAAGACAGGTTACCCTGCAGAAGTATCGCGAGGTAGGAACACTGTAAGAAATTGGCTTCTTCAAGGTTTCAGAGCCCATGTTCAATGAAGATCATTAAAATATCAGATTTTTATGCAGGCTAAAATCAATAACAGGCATACACCTTCCATCTAATTTATCTACGTACTAAGAAACCCATTACACTCCAAAGTTTCCACTTCATATCTGATTATCCCGTCTCATAGATGCAGGTCTTCTTGAAAGTGATGAAGTGATTAAACATCTACACAATTTTGTCTCACAGAGTATTTTGTTCGTGGTTTATTATGATCTTCGAAGCTTCTGAAATAAGTCGGAAAGACTAGACCTTTATTATACAGTGTGTATGTGTGTGATGACAGAAGGCAGTCTGAATATATTGATTGTTTCAGAATTCGAATCAGTGGATTACTAGAATTCAGTAGTTCGTTAATTCTAACTTTTATCGCGGTACAATACAGCCTTACTGCCAATTTGTATCATTAATGGACATGCACGCCATCCTGGCATGGAAGATCTTACCGGCAGTCTGTGAATTGCCACAGTTTTAAACATTTTACAAACAATTATATCAGTTTTCAACAGTTGGTATGTAAGGATTAGATTTGTTCTGACGAGTTGATCACGGATTGATATCGGTTAGATAAACATTGAAAACCAGTGCTGGAGTATTGGACAGCTGTTTCATCCCAGTTTTGGGAATCATCAACAGTACGCACCCACCACCAGGGTTCGAACACAGGACCTTCCAATTACAACGCAAGCTAGCTCGTATACCATTCAGCCACTGCGACCCGATTCAATCCCCAGCCGATGAATTCTAACTTCTACCAATTCGTGATTTTAGCGTAGTCACCAACCAATGTCATCAGTGAGAACTCCATTCTCACACTTGACTGGATCAGCCTGACTGGTTACGACTTCTGACTAGAATTTCAGGAATCTCTGTCCTGTCGTCAGTCACCAGAGAACATCAGAATAATTTTCAATAGTTGGTTTGTAAGGATTAGATTTGTTTTGACGAGTTGAAAATTAATCTGATGCTCGCTAGTGACTGACCACAGGAGAGAGTTTCCTGGAGTTCTAGTCAGAGGTCGTGACCAGTGACGTCCATCCAGTCAAGTGTGTGAGGATGGAGTTCCCTCCAATAACATTGGTTATTGGTCACGCTAAATCACGAATTGGTAGAAGTTAGAATTCATGGGCTGGCCAGTGAATCAGGTCCCAGTGGCTGAATGGTATACGAGCTAGCTTGCGTTGTAATTGGAAGGTCCTGAGGTCGAACCCTTGTGGTTGGTGCGTACTGTCGATGATTCTCAAAAAGTAGGATGAAGCAGCTGTCCAGTACTTACTGCCTGGTTTTTAGTCGTTCTCTAACTGATATCAATCCGTGATCAACTCACCAAAACAAATTATATTAGCAGTTTTCTCAGACTGTCTACTGACAGAAATGAAAGCTAATCACATTTTAACTTCATAATACAGTTAATTATAAATTCTACAATGAATATATTTTTGTATTTCTTTTTTTATTATTTCAGGTTAATTTAGATTCAAATACACGACTTCAGACTGAAAAGGATCTTGAAACAGCTAACAAAAATACCTTTGATCAATGTCAACGAAGAATTCAATCTTTAATGGAAAAAGACTCTTATCGACGATTTCTCCGATCCGATTTGTATTTAACAGCATTAGAAATAAGTAAAGAACGTGAAGACTATCAAATATCGAATAAATTTGGTCGACATTCTGTTATCGATTTTAGAGGTATACGGAATGCATTTATCTCTGCGAAAAGTTTTCCCACTGGTATGCCTTCAACTAATACGCATATTTCACGTGCATCAAGCAATGTTGGCAGAAGTGTAACCAATAAAAACAGTGTTGAGAATGCGGATGAACACAGTAGTGCAAGCAAAAAGACTTCGGATACTGATACGATAGGTCAGTGTATCAGTGTGAACTCCTTGTCTAAAGTAAAGTCGGCTGATCACCTCAAAGAGAAGTGTATGCAGTCTGAAAGCGTTACAATGACATAATCTTTATTCAAAACTAAACATACCAATATATATATATATATATATATATATGATATACAGCGACATATATTAGGGTTTTACAAATCGGTTACATTGCAGCTTACATATTTTTTATTGACGCCTAAACTGAATCAGTGTGTGTGTGTGATATCTTATTTGAAGAAACATGTGGAATGGTTAAATTTGTGAAATAAAAAAACAAAATTATTTTTGATATATATAATAACACTGTCTCCTTTCTTTCTTTCTTTGTGAATAACCTGAAAAATGCTTACAGGATTTCATCATGAACGGACATTAGTTAGAGAACCATTTGAAAACCAGCTGGGAGTAGTGGACAGCTGTTTCATCCTAGAGTGGGACTCTTCATCAGCTGCGCACTGATCGACATGGTTAGAACTCAGGACCTTCTGGTTACAAGACAAGCGAGCTCGTAGACTATTAGGCCAATCGTACCCGATCCAACAGCCAGTCCATGAATTCTAACTTCTGCCAATTCATGACATAGCGCTACTGTTAGCCAATGTCTTCGGCGAGTATTTCTCATCACACCTGACCTGCTGCGCCCAACTGGTTATGATTACCCACTAGAACCCAGATAATTACCTCCCTGAATAGGCCAGTCGCCAGTACTCCCAGGCTTTCCAATGCTTCTCTAACCAATGTCAGCTCATGATGAAATCCTGTAACCAATCAGTTAAATCCTTACAAACCAATACTTGTACCTAAAAGATGGTTGGATCTGTTGAATGACTAGTTCTGAGTTAGCCAGTTCTGTAATTTAAAATTACACAGTTCGGGGTAGAAATTCACCCGGAAAAAACGTTTCAGATACCTAATATATGATTAACTTAATGTCATAAATGTCGGGTATAGTAGCAACTCATAAATTAAAGAAACTGACTTTATGCATTAACAGTTTGCAGAAGTTGAAAGCAACAAATCATGTGGTTTTAAGAATGATGTGCTTTTCTGAGTTTAGTCTGTCTCATTGGACATTGATGAACTCGGTTTTTGAGGCAGGAAACGTTGATTTCATGTTTATTTCATAATGATCTCACCAGTAAGCAACAATGGACGAAGTAATGTGTATCCGGCTAATTTCATCAACAGGTAAAGTATATGACATCATGAAGATTTAACAGTTTGACTGTTCACAGTATTCTTCCCACCAATAAACTTAAATAAAGGAAAAAACTACCAAATCCAACGGAATAATATGAGCTTGATTGTTTTTTATTACCTCACGGGTTCTTTTCAGCTGACTGCAGTCTGGACAATACCAGAATGCATTTAATTCAAAGGATTTCGAAATATTCCATACATTAGTCCCGTTGATAAGTTTCGATAGGGAAAGAAAGAAAGACCAGATTTGAAGGATAAAATGATATCATCATTCTATTTCACAGGCTCTCGTCAGCTGCTGCAGACTACCTGGAATTACATCGGTTATAGACAATGACAAGAATATGCTTCAGTGTTTGAATGACAGTAGGGAAAACGGAGAATATACAGTACCATAGCCAAGGTCATGGTCTTCTATAACTTGACCTCCAAGAACCAATTAGAAACGAGGAATGCTATGCAATGTCATTCCAAATCAAATCGTGTCTCCCTTTTTGAACTTGGAGAAGATATTTGCAGTATTCCACTTATTTACTAGGTACTTTTTCTGTTGGGTAGGGTTATGACTTTCAAGACTAAGGTTCAGGGTCTAGGATTACGGTTAGGTTTAGGGTTAAAGTCAGAGTTAGGAATAAGTTGAAGAATAGTGTCAGAAATATCAATGGATCTCGAAGTACCATCCATGACCTACAGTTATGTGAATGAATGTATAAGTTGCGCATGGCACGATTTCTCCATAGATCGTCTGTGTATTGACTGGGAGGTATTCTTACAACACATAAACTAAAACTGTTTAGTATAATATCAAGTTTGCAATATTTTTAGTGCATTTTTCAACAATTATGCGACTGTTTTGCATCTGAATTCTGATTGGTTGTTCAAGGTCACTGTAGTTTTGGCTATGATAGCATAAGGATTTCATCATGAGCTGACATTAGTTAGAGAACCATTTGAAAACCTGGGAGTACTGGACAACCAGCTGTTTCGTCCCAGTTTTGGACTCTTCATCAGTACGCACCCACCGGGATTCGAACCCAGGACCTTCTGGTTACAAGGCGAGCCAGCTCGTGTACCATTAAGCCACTGGGACCCGATCCAATGGTCCATGAATTCTAACTTCTGCCAATTCATGACATAGCGCGACCCCTAGCGAATGTCTTCGGCGAGTATTTGTCCTCACGCCCGACCTGCTGCACCCTACTGGTCACGACTTCTCACTAGAACCACAGATAACTACCTACCTGAATAAGGCAAGTCGCTAGTGAGCATCTCAAATCCCTACAAACCAACACTTGAAAATCAATGAGATGCTCACTAGTGACGTGCCCTATTCAGGTAGGTAGTTATCTGTGGTTCTAGTGAGAAGTCGTGACCAGTAGGGTGCAGCAGGTCGGGCGTGAGGACAAATACTCGCCGAAGACATTCGCTAGGGGTCGCGCTATGTCATGAATTGGCAGAAGTTAGAATTCATGGACCATTGGATCGGGTCCCAGTGGCTTAATGGTACACGAGCTGGCTCGCCTTGTAACCAGAAGGTCCTGGGTTCGAATCCCGGTGGGTGCGTACTGATGAAGAGTCCAAAACTGGGACGAAACAGCTGGTTGTCCAGTACTCCCAGGTTTTCAAATGGTTCTCTAACTAATGTCAGCTCATGATGAAATCCTGTAACCAATCAAATCCCTACAGACCAACACTTGAAAATATGATAGTTTAACTTTGCTGAGAAAACATCACAAAATTAACTCATCCGAAATGTAAGCATTAAAATTTTTAGTTTAAATTACCGTCAGTTTATACGCTTTCAAAATAGACAAGTAATGAGGGGGAGAAGGAGACATAAAACAGGAAAATTGTTAGCTTGTAGGTTCACATAGCAAATCAAAGAGGTCGCAGTTCATAAATTTGAAAAGTTAGTAAGCTGAAACTACAAATACAGATGACTAATCAATGTAATCAAAATGCATTTACCAAAAGAGTGAGAAATTGTTTGCCCATCTTTTCTGTAGGCATGAGTATGGATGGTCTGATTGTAATTGCTTAAGCAAATCGTAGTAAATGTGCTGTCCTTTCTGTGTTTAATATTTCGAAGGATTTAGAAGTTTCAACGGAATGACTCATATCTACAAGGTGTCTGGTAGTTGCACTTTGTGAATATCTGCTTCCTTTTAGGTATAAGTTTCTTGGGATATGCTTTGAAAACTGGATAGGAGCCATTCTTTATCTTCTTTCAATGTGTCTGCTCCGGCAAGCGTAGTTAAGTTTATAAACGCGGTTGGAGACGACAGCAGCAGGTTATTTATCCAGTTTGGACTGGCTTACAGAGCATGTGATGCTGTACAGTGTTGTGAGCTTAGCTGCCGGGAAGCATCTTTTTATTGCTGCTTTCATTCTCTTGTTGATCGTTTATGATACTGCTTCTCCTTTGAAAGGGAGATAAATGTACACTTCCTTCTTTTCAACAGTTGGATGTTTCGTTTTCTTGTCCATTTCCTTGCTATGCTTTTGGATAAGTCCCTTTAGATACTCATCTTCCCTAAGGCGTTTGTCAACAAGGCCTAGTTCTTCCTCCAGCTTGTTCACTGAACATAACTTCCTGGCTCTACCATACAGTGTCCTTACCAAACCACGCTTATAGCTTATAGGACGGAAACTGTCATGTTTTCACTAATAACATTCAGCCATTGAAGTGTGTCATTGTCATTCTTTTATAACTACTGTAATTTCACCTGGTTTGCAGCTGATGAGAACCTGTGAAATAAAATGATATTTTGTACTTCAAATCTGATCTTTCTTTCTTTATTGAGATTTGAAAATACCTTTATCAAGTTGGCTAAAAATTTTAAATAGGAAATACGGAGTGACATACGGGAATATATATAGCGGAATTCATAATAGCGGATAAAATAACTAACTGTCATCAGAACTGAATATTATTGTGGTTATAAGACAAATATTCTTGAAAAAAAGATGGGAGCTCATAATGTGGACGGAAATAATATTTAAATTACAATAGCAGGTGACATGGAATATTCTACATAGCCATAAAGAGAAATATGAGCACCACTTAGACAAAAAACCAAGATTTTAAAAGATGACAAAGGCACGATGGCGTACTGCAAAGCGTGTATAGTTACATTTCATTAACAGCCTGACGTTGTCTCCTGTATGCGTATCTACCAGTTTTGTCTGCTCCTATGGGGCTAGTTACATTGGCAGTACAATTAGGCAGCTTCAGCATTGGATTTCCGAATATACACCTGTATGGTTAAGCAACGGACGAACAAGATCTATTCATAACTCTGCAGTAGTATACTTCGTAGGCAGTGAGCACTAAAATTTATATTAATAAAGCTTCTAAAGTTATTTATCGCATTCCACCCACAACAACGTCCCGTGTTAACTTTAACAAGCTTGACAGAGAAATGCAGGAATTAATCCAATTCCTTCACTGTCATATGATCATTGGAATTCTTGAATGAACGGAATATCCTCTTTTTGAATCATAAGGAAAAGACGTACACAGAGAAGACAATATTCTCTACGATTGATTTTGATAAGCTGTACAATCGCAATTATATTTGACAAAGAATTTATAAGCTCGGTCAGATACTTGTAAACTTGTTGTAGAAAATGTATTACATAATGTAAGGTATAATCTAGAAGAGGATGACTAGTTGGAGTTTCGAAATACGGGGTAGAAGTTAGGATGACATAATGTGATAAAATGAACAATTAATGTGTGTGTAAATTGAACAAAAATTAGTGGAAAGACGATAAGTTGCATTTTACTAAAATCTGTATTTACGGGTTTGACCACGGATTGACATCAGTTAGAGGACCACTGAAAACCAGGGAGTACTGGACAGCGGTTTCATCCTAGTTTTGGGAATCATCGACAGTACGCATCCACCACGCGGGTTTCGAACCCAGGACCTTCCGGTTACAAGACAAGCTACCTCGTATACCATTCAGCCACTGGGACCTGATTCAATGACCAGCCCATGAATTCTAACTTCAAC